CACATCGCACTCTCGCCTGCATTTCGCGCACTCGACACGCACGATCTCCGCAGAGGGTTGCACTTTCGGTTGACGCTGTTCGTCCCACCCTCCGCCTTTAAGAGAGAATTTATAAAGTGGGGAAATGTTTTTTCATTAGGACATCTCCCGTGCTAGTTCACTTGCCTACTCATTGCATGCTTGCATACTCATCACTTGCATACTTCCACTTGCATACTTTGACAGCTTTCGCTCTTCCACTTACACAGGGCTACGTATAGCGTTCATGTTATCCTGCAAGTGTGGTGAAAGTGTCAATGTCTAGGTGTGTCTAAGTGTAAGTGTCGAAGTGTCAGTGTTCAAAGGATTTTCCGGAAGAGCCCTTCGCAATGCTTTCGGGAAAAACACAACGTCCGAAACCCTAACTTCGGTTTATATTTGCTTTTAAATTACCGCCCTTTCAAGCCGCTACTAAATTACCAACATGGTCGATGATGGGGTAGTTTCTTTTATTAGGTTCCAAAAACAAACGTAACTGCCCACATCTGTCCGCCCTGTGTATCCACGACCATGACACGCCGCGTTTACACCAGCAGGTTTTCCTTCCTCCAATGGCACGGACTCACGCAAACGCACTTGCCACCGAGGTCGTGCAAAACCGCATGGCACAGCGACATCACCTTTCGAAAGCTTTGGTTGTCAGTCTAATGAATCAGTATTCTAATAAAGGTTTTTGTAGGGACCCTTCGATCTGGAGGTTTCTTGAATTTTTGATACGAGTTGAATAAAGGATTTTATATAATGTTCATGGATTACTTTTTGGTTCTGAAGCTCTTCCCAGCTGACCAATTTTTGGACCCCCCGATTTCAGGGACCCCCTATTAGAAAAAATGCGACCGAGTTTCTCTTATTAGGGGTGTTTGTGTATTAATAGGTGGACCGGATTAGTGAAAAGCAACAACACACACTGTCTCCCATACACATGAAGGCAAAGCTCTTGTGTGTGCTACAATAGCAATATAACATATGGATTGAACAAAATCAACTGAAGCACACTAAAATGCCAATGGCTGTAAGTCGCCTATTCAATTGTATAACACGTTGGCACACGAGCAAAACATCTTTAACAACCCAAGTTCTTCTGTGGCAAAATATTCTTCCTGTTTTTCTGCTGGTCTCATTGTCACTACAAGCAAACGCACAATATCACACAACGTTTGTAAAAACATGAAAAAAACGTCTTCGGCAACCCTCAGCTAAACCAACCCTTGCAATTTAAGCCACGAGTCTTCACAGAGTATATGTGGATGTACACGATATACCTGTTCTTTGTCTGAGAGTTTGGGGGCACGCAGGTACAAAACAGCGGGACAAACTTCACCTCTGGTCAAATCCAAACATTCACAAGGTTTTGCCCTGTGACAAAACCATCAGGACGAATCCAAGATTCCACGGAGTGAGGGCGGCTGCCAGAACTAAGCCGCACAAGCCTGGCAGTACAGTATGCGTTTGTGAAAGCGCAAGTCACTAGAGACATCAAAAACCTCAACCCCGTCCTGGCTTCTCAGGACGATCATGCTGAGACGAGAAACATGCATTACTATACTACTCAAGCTGCTAGACTGATTTTGCGCTACAAATTATATAATATATATATATATACAGTTGTACATATAATATATATATACTGTCAACAGTGGCTTGCCCTAATGTTGCAGAATTAAGCTGCACTAATGATGCACAGTCGGAAAGGCGCGCAAGTGAATGCATCTCGCTTGACTGCAACACCCCATGTGCGCCAACCCCCAAGCGGCGAGGGCTTGCGGGGACCATGTTGGCCAAACCTAGGCTGCCTCCAATCTGGTACCCATGGGGCACAGCACGTGGTGCCATCTACGCCTTGATTCATCCTGATTCCACATGATTTTATCAGACCGTTTTTTCGATCTTGGATGCAATTTCTCCGTGGGGAAAATGCATAGATGAGGTGTTTCCCTGAACTGATTAAGAGCTCTCCAACATTATGCAGCCATTCTCTTGCTCTTGGTCACCTTGACTAAGCCTGACTCAGCTGGGCAAAACATGTTTCCGATGAATACTTTCTTCTTTTCTCTGCGACTCCCCCACTTCTGGCCATTGAAAGTCACCGCCAAGCTTGGGCTAACCACTCTCCCAAAGCGCATGTGCTAGCAATCAGAAGTCACTTTGGATGGTGAGCGTTGAACACCCGCTCACACTCCTCTGACAATGGGAGCAGGGTCTCTTTCTTAGTTGGCTTTGTCATTGAGACCATACCTTCAATCAAGCAAAGAACACCAACGAAGCAAAGCCACAAAACAAGCGTAACCGAAGCTCTGCTTGAAACACCGCTCGAGCGGCTTGGCAGAATTTGGGCATGCACTATGATGAGTGCTGGAAGGAACAGATTCATCCAAACACCCACTGTACAGCCCAAAATTATCAGAAAATTGGCGAAAGCTTTGGGTCCAACCAATATCGGAGTTACAACATTTGTCACGGCAAAGAAGGAGGTCATCAAAACTTGTATTGCGAAAGGTGCCTCCGACAAGCGAATCTCTGGGTTGGAGGTCATGAAGCTCCAAATCTGAGACTTGCAAGGAAGAACCAAGAAAGGATAACAAAGATACATCATCAATGCGCCAGCAAATTGTATCGTCCGGGACATCATGTCTGGATAGTGCTCCTGGTAGACCTTGAAAGCATCCAGCTCAACCAAGTTACCCAGAGATGCATAGCCAACCAACCCAACCGCCAAGCACACGCAGGTTTGTAATGAGACCTCGGATTGGTCTCAAAAAGGCCAACATCATCATAATATTATATACATCTACAAATTCTTACGGACAGTACTGATGGTGGCTAGCAAAGAGATGCAAAGAGTCAACTTTAAACAATATATTCCGCAAATGTTCGAGACCGCTGAACACGGGCATATTCGCACTGCTCTGTGCAAAAGACTTGGCTTGAGATCGGCAGCCACCTGAGGCATGATGCCAGTGTTTGCAAATGTTCCGATCATATTGCTTGCAACAGCGGCAAATGCTGTGGGCTTCCATGCGATGAGTTCAGAAGCTTCGGTCTTTTGATGCCAAACAAGGGCACCTTTTACCAAAGCTATGAGAATTGCCGTTGTCTTGGCAATCATGCTGGTGCAGTTGATTGCCCGAGACATGCTTCCAGAAAGCTCAGCGGGAAAGGACACTGCAAACAGCATGATGCCAATAGGAAAACCCAAATGCCAGCGACTTTGACACAGGAAATTGTCACCGCTTGATCTGCAAAGCACTGGGCACAGCTGCGCTTCAACAAACGATAGTACAAAGTGGAAATACCATCCCGCACAGGCCCAAAGGTAGACCAAGCCACACCAAACAGTCATCTGCCGCGCCCAGGCTGGTATGGGCTGGCAAAGCTCGTCAAAGGTCTTAGCATTCCGATCTGCACTTGCTCTCAACAAGGTTTGCTGCTCTAGAACTCCTGTCACGGCCATAGCCACTGTCACGAAGACGAAGCCGAGGTATCCGGACAAATTCGCAAAGTAAGGCACAGCTGCAATGGTCGCACCCAGGCCGGAATTGAAGATGACAGTAGTAGCTTCACAAATGCTTAAACCTGAGTAGGTGAATGCACCAAAAGCTATAAAGGAATATATATATATATATATTCACAAAAGGATTGGTAGCTTCCTCGCCCACGAGGTTCAACCAAAACTGGTTGGAGACCACTCCAAAGACAAGACAATGCTCAATGTCCAATCCAACAACAAATGGTGACCACACCAATGTACCAATGAAGGGTATCCTCACCCACGAAATCCGGTTGTCCTTAGCCAAGGACCCACTCACCGTCGCAGCCCCTTTTCCTCAGACCATGGCACAAGCGAATCCTCTCCACACCCGCACTCGCTTGAGATGCGATAGCGGCACATCGGCTGATCGAGAAGGGCAACATGCGACCTGGTTTTCTTTAAGTGGTCTCAGCATGTTGACCTTGTGTGGATCTTCAAGGATCGTCATGGTGGCATTATTTAGTATGATCTATCCCTCTTAGGCTCGTAAGATGGCAAAAACATGCGAAACACAAAAGGCATCTGGCTTTTATGAATTATGGCGGGTGATATCTCGCTTTGGCTTTTCTTTTGCAAAAGGACTTTCCCCAAGATTCATAATCACACTATGACTTTCTCAAGCCCTTGCAGTACACTCACTCCAGAGTGTCCCTCTCGAGAGAGGCCTTGCAGCTTTTACTCCGATTCGGACGACTTGGCTTTTCCAAAATCGGAGATCTGTGCATTCGATCGGAGCCATTTCAGTCTGGTTCTAGTGTCGGCTCTTTGTTTGAGAAGTTCGGATTCATCTTGGAATTTATACTGTCCAATTCGAAGTACCTCTCTGAGGATCGTGTTGTCCATAATTTTTGTTAATAAGTCCGCAATCTGAGCTCCCGAAGGAACCCATCTCAAGCAGATTCCGGTCTCGATGTGCTCTTTAATCAATTTGGCCTGTAGCAATGTTCTAAATTCAGAGCATGATGGTGTCGCGGTGCGACTCACAAGATCATACAAGCTTTTACAGTCCGTGGCCATGATCGACTTCTCTGGTTTGACTTTGTCAAGGAGTTCTTTGGTTTGGCACATCGTTTCGTTTGGATCGTGAAGTTCTGTATCTTTGACTATCGAGAACGCAGGTGGAAGTTTGGTCAGCGTTTTGTCTCCAAGTCTCCATGCGCATTTCGAATCAACTATCCATGCCCAGAGTAGGCGAACCCATTCAAGAGTAGCTATAGCACCAGCTAGTGACATGGATTCCGCAGACAGGGTACTTACTGCTACTTTCTGGATTTTTCTCGATGCCCAGATTATGGGGTTGACTTTGCTTTGTTGATTATCTTCTAGCTGTCTTTGGCAAGCCATGATAAGCAACCCTTGATGAGAACTGTCGTTCTCGTTTGAGGCAAAAGAGGCATCTGAGAACGAAAGGAATCGGGTTTCACTGGTGGGTATTGGTTGGAATGTGATCTTTGTATCTGCATACTGTTTTGCTTCATGTAGGACACGATTTGCTTCAAGAAGGTCAGTGACCTGGCCATTGTTGATCCTGGTCTGGAGCTGGCCTAATCGGCTGCACAGGTCAGGTCTTGTGTTGACTGCTGCGTACAGTAGACTGCCTATGACTGCACGAAGACTCTGGCGTTCCTCTTCGGTGATCAAGTCTTCTTGTTGTTTTCTTCGAGCAGGGGTCAACTTTATAGGCTCTATTTCTTTGACATATTGGGACTGATCTAATGATATTGTCATGTCTGACCCTTGACTTACATGAATTCCTGTGAACACGAAGTCAGTATGCTTGCCTGATCCAAAAGGATATTTCTTCGACAATTCAATCAGCTTTGCTTCGAACAGGTGGTTTCCTCCAAAGATGCCGTCGTCTACGTGTAGACCGATCGCTCCGCATGTTTTCCCTTCTGGGTCGGTCAAGGTGAAAACACATGGGTCCATGGGGCATTGTTCGAAATCAAGGTCAAGCAACCCTTTTCTGATTTCACGGAACCATAACAGAGGGGCATCGGCGCGACCATAGGCTCCCTTTAAAAGTTGGAGTACTTCACCCTGGCGCATTTGTAGCTTGAATTGAAATTCTGGAACAGGTTCTAGTCCAAGCAGTCTTTCTTGATCTGCAGTACCTCTCAAAAAAGCAGTTTTCACATCGAACGAGGAGATACGCCATGAGTTTGCTGCTGATAGCTGGAGTATCAGCGAACGGCCCAATTTTGTCAATGTGGGTGAGTCTCTCTGGATTTCGTGTAGTTTCGGATCCATGAATCCTAATACTACCAACCTTGCCTTTGGGATTCTATTTTGATTTGAGCTGGTGTTCGACAAATGTTCGTTTGTTTCACTGTTCTTCCACGTCAAAACCCATCGACATTTCAGGATGTTCTCTGGAGGAATTCGATGTCGGGCAATTTTGGCCACTGTTTGGGTTTCTAACCAGCTATCGATTTCTTTCCCTTTTGCACTGTCAAAACGGGCACGGTCTGCTGGACTCAGGTTGGACATCTTCACTTCAACTTTCTGTCGCTTTGCATTTGTCACCAAAAGTGTTACGCATTCTTCCTGATTTGCTGCTCCAGCAAGTTGTCCTGTTTCCTGATCTGTGAGATTGAAGCTCAATTCCCAACATTGTTCAGTTTCTAGCGAAAAGGCTTCGCAAAGCAATTCATCATCTGAAGGTACTGGAATGTCTTCGGGGTTTAGATTCTCTGGCATTTCAGGATTTTGCATTTCTGAATGTTCTGATCTGGATCGTATCTCTGGTTCATTATCGGGTTGTTCACTGGTGTTTGAATCCGGGTTGTTTGAAGTGTTCTCTCTTCCAGATTCCGCGGACATCGGCTCAGTCGGAATACTCTCTGATTCTGGTAGTCGAAGGTCCTGAAAATATCTCGAAATCTGTTGAGGATCTTTTTC